GCGTTGGAGACGGGTATAGTGGGGTGGGAAGAGTGGGAGGGGTTCCAGGATGGAGAGAACGAGTCTCTGATACCAATTGTTAACACCAGCAGAAGGGGGAAGGGGATTGGGAGTCGGCGATGCTAGAGGAAGGAGAAGAACAGGAAAGGTAGCGATACAAATTCAGAATTTAGTTGGAGTTTTTCTTCTCTCATACGGAACCCACGCACACCGCCAGCTTATATTACACATGCCACTCGGGGCCAGCGAACCTCCTATTTGGCTGGGCCACGCGCCTGGGCCTTGGGCAGACCTTGGAGCCTTCACATTCTTCAGTATCCGTGTGATCATCAGGATGGGCCTGGTCAGCAGTAGCCTTGTCGCTGACATTGAGATACTTCAATTCACGATGTCAATATTTATTCAAAGCTTACCAGTAATGCAATTGGCCCTATCTTGTTGTCAAGTTATGATCGTTTTGAAGGATCATACGGTGTATCTAAAAAGATGCTAGTTTGGCCATTATGATCTCAAGTCTTTTTTTATTTTTTTTATTTTTTGCGAATTTGATCTCAAGTCTTGTTTGTTGAGACCGAAGTTAGTGATCACGTTTTGTTCTGGAGCAATACAAAGATTGGATGTTGGCTGTACCAAATTTAGTTTTGAGAATAGCAATAAGGTTAACTATGGTTGGCGGCAATTTGATCGCTTTGTGCACATATAAGAATCTAATAGAAGTTGAGGATGTCATTTCAAATCAGTTTATAGCAGCCATCAGAAGATATTAGTGAAGGAAGAGAGCAGATTTTGTCATCTCAAAGCAAAATTTGAGTTTTGAGTACGATGAGACTACGTGCCCCTAGAAACAAAGGTATGCTATACATTTGAGGTAATCACCATGATGAGTCAATTTCGGTTCAGAAGATGTTTTTAGTACACAAGCTTTACTAAAAAAAATAGGGAGAGGCTATATGTTGAGAATCAAATTTTTAAAAAGGAGGTGATACCAAATTGGGCTGCTGAAAACTAGCTAGGGCTGGTTTCCAAACCGGCCTGTGCTGGTTTTCTAACTTTGTAAAAATACACTTGGACTCCATTGTGTTTCTCGCATCGAGACGATTGAAAAACATATATAGAATGTCTAATTTTGAGTCTTGACGAAGAAAATGCAATTTTGAAAAAGACCAAATGATTTCCAAATGACTTTTTCCAACAAGCTTTGTTTTTTTTTTTTTTTTTTTTGTCCTTGGCTTCAGCAACTAGATCACAACTTACGCTCTCAAGTTTTTGTGGGAGCAAGCGCACTCTTTTGGTATATTTGGTTGAGCTAAAATGACTTGGTTTTTGACAAAAAAAATATTATCTTCTTATTTAAAAGTTATTTTTAGGGCTATTTATTAGACATGTTTCTGGTCCATCTTATAAAAGGACCATGACCAACCAAAGTTAAAGTGGGGAAGTCGCATCCTGGAGACAACAACAATGGAGATCCTGGCCTTTTTCTAATAGGCTTGCTGCACAGATTACAATTACATCTTGTGAGCTTTTTTGAAAGCTTGTTTTTATATGCCATAGACTTATTTTGTATTAACATTAATTGAGTACATAACTTATGCACATATCAGAATAGAACTTCTTTTTTCTAAAAAGAATGTTAAATTTAGAGTTCAGATGAAGAAATCAGCCCCCTAGGAAGTTTCAGCCTATCAATAACCAGTCCAGGCTGGGTTTTTCCCAGTCAAAACCGGCCCAGGCGTGTTTTACTGTCTAGTTTGAATTATAGTCGTGTTTTGACGTGATTTGCAAATGATTTCATCCCAAATTGGTTTCCTAGCAGGATAATATGGTCTCTCCTCCATATATATGTGAGGACACAGCTTGAGGTATCACAACACAATCAAACAAACACACAAATCAATCTTTTTTTTTCCTTTTTCCTAATCTTTTCCAATGTCATTATATTGCTTCTCTCTTGATCTGACAACCAAGGGTGACACCCTAGGCTCGCTGGCCAGTCTAGAGTCCACGCCCTGACGAGGTCCCTCCCGGGCGAGAGTTTTGATAGTTCATTTGCTAGTTTACCTGAAAACTAGCCATTCTTGGTCATATAAGTGTGATAAGTTATTCTTTGCTGGTTTTCTCGTAAACCTTGTCATTCTTCACCATGTAAGCGTGCTATTGTTCCTTGTGCGAAGACCCAAAGGATTTCATATCTGCCCAAGGGCTGATCGTCTAGTCCGACCCCAAAGTCGGCTACATCAATTTCCTTGCCTTTGCAAGACCTAGGTTGGCTAGGCTGATCCTAAGATGAGCTAAGCTGACTTGGTTTGTACACAATGTATTCTTCGGTTTGTTTGCGATCCATGCATTCTAGCACTTTGGATGTGGGACCAATATTCTCGTCAACAACTCCGGAGCCTGAAAATGAAGATATCATCACTGAGCACGAAAGTTTCATCCTAGAAGAATCACAAGTCTCATGCTCACACGAGAAGTCTCAGGAGTCGATAATTCACTCTTCAAGGGCATATACGAGAACTACAATCATCTTGTGCTCGTCGTTCATAGTCCTTCTTTGTTTCCTTAAGAAGTTGTACAAACAAAGAAAAATCACTTTTAAGATAAGCTGGTCCAATCTAATTTATACTTTTTAGAGCAACTCCAACAGCTTGGCTATTCTTATTGTTGACTTATGGAGGCTATTTTAGAATTTATATAGCAAAAAGTAAGTTTCAACAGACGTGCTACTTGACTTTATAAAATAGGAAGCTGGCTATCGCTTGATTTTTGGTGGCCATATATAACCAACCACGAGCGCTCGCTATCTGACTTTGTAAAATAGCAAGACAGTTGTGGGCCTCTTCTTTTTTAAGGAGTTTTCTATTTTACAAAATGCCTAAACAATGGAATTTAACTATTAATTTTAGCTAAGCTGTTAGAGTTGCTATTAGTACAGATGAGGTTGGGGAGAAGCATGGCCAAAAAAGCTGCAAAAAACGTATCATTTGGCTTTTAGTTTCAGTTTATTTTGGCCATAAGCGGTTTATAAACTATACCAAATAGACCTATAAAAATCTTTAAAGGGATAGTTGTAAATGATTTTGTCTATCATAAGTATTACAAAATCTCGTGGTTGTTGTGGCACATGTTTTGCAGCCAAGAAAGATTGGTGATGAAGAGGGGAACCACATCGCCAATGTCAGTTGCAATGTGAAGGTTTCCCTAGTGTTGTTTTTAGTTAGATAAGGAATGTTTTTTTTACGGCAAAAGACTGTGGGGATCCCCACAGTATGATTTTTATAGATAAGGAATGGTTGTTGTATTTAATTGTTGATTTCAGTGTAGAAAAGAGAAGATTTTATTTCATAGGAAATACAACATGAAACATATGTTCTGTTGTTATTGTTTTTTGATTGAAGCCAATTAATGGCTCTAACATTCCAGCACTTGTAAGTGGTGACTCAGGAGTGAAATTTGTCTTCATTCCATTGCTGTTTGTGTAGAGTTTACACATGCTGGTCCTATTAGCACTAGTGTTGTGATGAACATGCTTGTTAGATATGCTGTGTAGGATGCCATTTGAATTGTATGGCCTGCGAATTTGTGATGAATAAAATGTAGCCAATTTGTGATGAATAAATTGTTGCATGTGGCATGTAACGTGTCCTAGGTATGGATATTGATATGCATGCCAGAATTGCATCAACATGTATCTGAATATTGTAAAGTTGTCGACCATGTTGTTGTTTGTAGTTAGCCAACCTGGTATTTCTGTCGATGTCCAAGTTAGAAGATATAAATGACATTTCTGTTGGTTTTATATTTCTGACAGTAGTTAAAGGCGTCAAGAATGGTATCATGTTGGCTAGCCGTCACGAACAAGCGGTTATTTCAGATAAGCTGGTCCTGTCGGCCAATTAAAGATGGCTGACTGTCAGCAATCTAATTTCGTTTTGGGGGCTTTCTTGACGGTTTTTGACCGTCACGTAAAAGTTTGTACTCTGGTAGTGCCGTATTTCTAACACCAGTTAAGATAAAGGAACTCTCTAACACACATTATGCAATCATATGTATAATATATGTTGGTACTACACGAATTATATTATCAGGTTCATATATACATAAGTCATCAAATGAAGTTGATTTGCAACGACCGACACGTCAGCAAGAACACCTACATGCAAGTTGAAAGACGACAGGAAAGCCAGGTCTACAAGCTAGCAAGGAGATGGCCGTGTTTGCAAGCTAAAATCAAATGCGCGACTCCAAATAGAATTTATAAAGTGATTAAAATTGTTGTTTTCCCACTTTTGTCGATAGAAAGCAGAATTTGCTTCCTAGTCCACTTGCTTAGCTAGCACGCAATCCTAGAAAATACACAGGCCGGGTCTCTATCAGTCCTCCATATATATATGAATCTTAGAAATGCATGCAAGCGCGGTGAGCGAGACTGCGAGAGCATCAAGTATGGGCCGTTTAATTAGGTATTACTAATAACATCTTGTGCAAAGAGACAACAAAATGAGCACATACGTGTAGATGTAGCTAGCCACCATGAGCAATTAAGTGTTTGTTTCGTTTGCAAACAGAATGCGCTAGTCCAGATGAGACCACTCATTCCGGGGCGGTTAGTTGTTTTGTTGAGCACGCGATGCGATTAATTAGGATGCAGGTGGTTGAAAATGATCACACTCCGATGCAAGACGTCCTCACTTAGCTAGCCTAGCCTATCCATTCAAAAAATGAAGCTCATAAATAGTAAGAATCAGATATTATCGGAACAAATAAATAGAAAAGGAAGAAGTGCATTCATGCGTGGACTGGTGCCGCACGCATGCATGCATTCATGCAGCCGGCCTTATCCCGCCGCACCGGCCGGCGATCGCCCCCTACAACTACAAATATCGACGACCCGTAGCTCGCTCGACTATCTTTCATTCTCTCCCCGTTCCGTTCCGTTCCTCTGCAGCAGCAGGCTTCTCTGCTAGCTAGCTATATAGCTACTGGTTCGTGGTTCCACAATGGCCGCCGCGCCAGTCGCGCTGCCCTTCCTCCTGCTGACGGCGCTCGCCGCCGCCGCCGCGGCGGTCGCGAGCGCAACCACCGTCGCCTACAACGACCGTGCGGTGGTCATCGACGGCCAGCGCCGCATCATCCTATCGGGGTCCATCCATTACCCCAGGAGCACGCCACAGGTGAGTGATCGAGATCCATCGTCGTCGATCTCAGCAATTAACTTGGCTTGCCACACTGCATGCGTGCAGTGCATGCATATCATTTGTCGATCGAATCTTTCCTTGCTGGATGTGATTCTTTATTAATTAACTGATGATCGATGCTACTGTGGTTTGGCCGGCGGGCGGCACACGCACGGCGCGTGCAATGGCAATGGCAATGGCAAATTGGCAATAATGCAGATGTGGCCCGATCTCATCAACAAGGCTAAGGAAGGCGGCCTCAACACCATCGAAACGTACGTCTTCTGGAACGGCCACGAGCCGCGCCGCCGCCAGGTATAAAGTATATATAATGATCCATGCATGACATATATAATCACATCCATCCTTTCATTCATAAATTTACTATCCTGAGGTTTTTCTGTGTGCTTATATATCTGCATTTTCTTTTAATAACTTGCAGTACAACTTTGAGGGAAACTACGACATCGTCAGGTTCTTCAAAGAGATTCAGAACGCTGGAATGCACGCTATTCTTCGCATTGGTCCCTACATCTGCGGGGAATGGAACTATGGGTACAAATCTCATTGATTATTTCTCATCTTTACTTCTCGAGAAATTAATGATAATTAGTACTACTACATGTGGCACATATTTCTTTTCCCTGTTTTAATTATCTTTCTCTGCTGTTGCAGAGGCCTTCCTGCATGGCTGCGTGACATCCCCGGAATGCAGTTCAGGTTGCACAATGATCCCTTTGAGGTAACTAATTAAAAAGATACATGTAGCATCTCAATCAAGCACGAGATTGATTTGCAAACATAGTATAAATTGAACTTCAACAGTAAATCGTTTTTCGGTTTCTTGTATATGCATGGCAGCGTGAGATGGAGACCTTCACCACCCTCATTGTCAACAAGATGAAGGAAGCCAACATGTTCGCAGGACAGGGAGGCCCAATCATCCTTGCTCAGGTCTCACGCTCTTGTATTGTGATGAACTAATATATCTGATAAAACAATTCAATATTAATCTATCTACTTGCTAAATCAAATGTGTTAATGTCGCTTGCCTATCTAGATCGAGAACGAGTATGGAAACATCATGGGACAACTGAAGAATAACCAGTCTGCCTCGCAATACATCCACTGGTGTGCCGACATGGCTAATAAGCAAAAGGTTGGTGTCCCCTGGATCATGTGCCAGCAGGACAACGATGTGCCACACAACGTGGTAAGCACTCCAACCGTAGTAGTTCATGATGATAAAATGTTTTAACACAGACAGTATATAGTAATGTTTCGTATTCTGAGCTAATGGTGTCTGCTTCTTACCAGATCAACACCTGCAATGGTTTCTATTGCCACGATTGGTTCCCGAACAGGACCGGCGTTCCCAAGATATGGACAGAAAACTGGACTGGCTGGTAATTAACTCTGTTTTTCTTTTTCTCTTGTACTAGCAATGTGGTATTGTTTCTTCCTAAAAAGTTTTCCAGTAACTTGGAGCAGTAACAATTTCTTGATATTGCAAAAATTTCCAATAGGTTCAAAGCTTGGGATAAGCCGGATTTCCATAGAACTGCTGAGGACATTGCTTTCGCGGTCGCCATGTTCTTCCAGAAGCGTGGATCGGTCCATAACTACTACATGGTGATAGTTTTTCTTTTCTTTCTTAATTACCACATGAATTGCACTTGCACAAATATCGTCTCCTGAATTCATATCGTGGTGGTGATAATTAGTACCATGGAGGAACCAATTTCGGACGCACTTCTGGTGGCCCTTACATCACAACAAGCTATGACTACGATGCGCCTTTGGACGAGTATGGTAGGTTTATCTAGCTAGTACAGAGGATCATTCTTTGTAGTAATACTCCTGAGTTGTATTAATTTCGAAATGTGTTTTCATGTGTACATATCCATGATATTGTTAGGTAACATTAGGCAGCCCAAATACGGGCACCTGAAGGATCTCCACAACTTGCTCAAGTCCATGGAGAAAATCCTTGTCCATGGGGAGTACAATGACACAAGTTATGGCAAGAATGTCACTGTACGTTTCGTTTCACGGCATCCATCTTTTGTCTTCTTCCGACTTATGTAATGACGACTGACGAGACGATCATTTTGAACAAACAATCATTCAGGTCACCAAGTACACCTATGGCGGTTCGTCAGTTTGCTTCATCAACAACCAGTTCGATGACAGGGATGTGAACGTGACCCTCGCCGGAACTCACCTCGTTCCGGCATGGTCCGTCAGCATCTTGCCGGACTGCAAGAATGTTGCCTACAACACGGCAAAGGTTCTTTTTTTTGTTTATGCAATATAATTAATTTGACTGCATATATATGCCCATTAATCAATTCGCTTTCAGTTAGTGATTTGAGTTTGCGTTTGTGAAATGATGAATGGTACCGTTAGATCAAGGTGCAGACATCGGTGATGGTGAAGAAGGCCAACTCGGTGGAGAAGGAGCCGGAGGCCCTGAGATGGTCGTGGATGCCTGAGAACCTCAAGCCCTTCATGACGGACGACCATGGCAGCTTCAGGCAGACCGGGCTCTTGGAGCAGATCTCCACATCCACTGATCAGAGCGACTACTTGTGGTACAGGACAAGGTACTTACTCAACAAAAAGTAGTATCAATTTGTTTTTTCACACGGCGGCCGACTGATGGAAATTAAACTGTGGCATTAATTTCTGATAAATAAATAAATAAATTACAGCCTTGAGCACAAGGGAGAGGGGAGTTACACGCTGTACGTGAACACAACTGGCCATGAGATGTACGCTTTTGTCAACGGAAAGCTTGTCGGTGAGTAGTAGTACACCGATTGCTCCTACTGTGAAACTTGGTCATCGATCAGTATGTTTGCAGCTTCTTCTGCAACTTTGAGCTGCCTGCATCGGTCAGCTGGCAGTGCTAAAGTTTGAGGGCAATTTATTTGGCAGGGCAAAACCACTCGGCCAACGGAGCGTTCGTCTTCCAGCTCCAGTCTCCGGTGAAACTCCAGTCCGGGAAGAACTACGTTTCTCTCCTCAGCGGCACCGTCGGCCTCAAGGTACGTACCCAAAATCGTTGTCCACCATTTCTGATTTCTCTATGTCTCAAGAAAGTTACAGGTATTACTTAATTTTGTGATGAAAACAGAACTACGGACCATTGTTTGAGCTTGTGCCGGCGGGCATCGTCGGAGGACCGGTAAAGCTTTTGGGGGCAAACGGCACCGCCATTGATCTTACAAATAGCTCTTGGTCTTACAAGGTATGTATGAATGGAAGCCATCCGATCGATCGTGTAAGCATGAATGAACATAACATGTCTTTGATCGGTGTCGTGTGCAGTCTGGGTTGGCCGGTGAGCACAGGCAAATCCACCTGGACAAGCCCGGCTCCAACTCCAAGTGGTGGAGCCACAACGGCAGCATCCCCGTGAACCGGCCCTTCACGTGGTACAAGACCACCTTCGCGGCTCCCGCGGGCGAGGACGCCGTGGTGGTGGACCTGCTGGGCCTGAACAAGGGCGCGGCGTGGGTGAACGGCAACAGCCTGGGCCGCTACTGGCCGTCGTACACCGCCGCGGAGATGGGCGGGTGCCACGTCTGCGACTACCGTGGCAAGTTCAAAGCCGAGGGCGACGGCATCCGGTGCCTGACGGGGTGCGGCGAGCCGTCGCAGCGGTTCTACCACGTGCCCCGCTCCTTCCTCCGCGCCGGCGAGCCCAACACGCTGGTGCTCTTCGAGGAGGCCGGCGGCGACCCGGCGCGCGCCGCGTTCCACACCGTCGCCGTGGGACCCGTGTGCGTGGCGGCCGCCGAGGTCGGGGACGACGTCACGCTGTCGTGCGGCGGCGGCGCGTCGTCGCCAGCGTCGACGTGGCCAGCTTCGGCGTCACCCGGGGCCGATGCGGCGCCTACCAGGGCGGCTGCGAGTCCAAGGCCGCGCTCAAGGCGTTCACGGACGCGTGCGTCGGCAGGGAGTCGTGCACGGTCAAGTACACGCCCGCGTTCGCCGGCCCAGCGTGCGAGTCAGGCAAGCTCACCGTGCAGGCCACCTGCTGATACCTTACTATGATACCTATAGTGACCCATCAGATCAGGGCACGCAACGCAAGTTTAGATTAGGTGATGCATAGGTAACATATGCTATATTATGCATGCATGGTTTGGACTCCAAATCTCTCAAAGTGTGGTGTGGGTGATGTAACCAATGGCAACGAGTCCATCCATTTCGTTCCTCGCTCAAAATTGGTTGAATAAAAAACCTACCGAGCAGGTGGTTCTGCGATGAAAAAAAGGAAAGCTGCTTCGACACCTATAAAGCCTCTCGTTTGGCTGTGGCCTGTCGTAAACGATCGTAAATTTTCTGTCGAAACAGTATTTTTCTTTCACACAAACCAGCCAGCAGTACTTATTCATAAACCAGCAACAAAACGAACCAGCCAACCGAACAGATTGTAGCCCATAAGGCCTCCATCTGTTTGATAATTTAATGACCTACTGCTCGCAACGCAAATCTAAGATTTGGCTTTGAGCTATTATGCCTACTTCGTGCAGTTATAGCGGGAATTGATGAAATGGACCCTTCTCGTGTCATGGTATATATATTGCCGTGTAAATGTTGATGATTATCAACATAACTTAGTTTCTTTCGTATATTTTTGTTTAGGATAAGCTAATTAGTTTAAAGTTAGTTCACACCAACCTAGATTGTGTCGAGATCATTAATTATATTGTGTATATATATACTCTAGTCCATTAATTCATATATGTTCATGCATGGCCTAGAGTATTATAAGATATAAAGTGATGTTCGTGATTAATTAAAAAGCCAATGCTAAGAAAATTATTTATTTTCTTTCTTTGATTATTTTCTAACATAATAACCACACAGATACTCTATAGCCTCTAACTACCAATCATTCTATATGCTCTTTTCAAATTACTATTCATTCCATATGATTTTTTTCTTCATGTTCTTTCCTTGTTTTTTTTGCGGTAGATGACAAATCCTCCCCCGCATGCGTGAAGATTTAGAGGAACGGTAGTGCTAGCACCCCGGACGCTCGGACAGACGCCCGCGCCTGCACTATGTTTCCTCTATGCGCGCCTGCGCACTCCACGCCCGCGCTCGCGCCTGCACTCCCCCGCCCGTGCCTGCGTTTCGCGCCCCATCCGCTTCTCACGTGCATTGCAACATGTGCAACACTCGATCTACTTTTGCATCATCCGGATAAAACACTTGCAACATATGTCCAAAACAGATGAAACACTTGAAACATACATCTGAAACAATTGCAAAACACCTAGAAAACACTTGAAAGCCATTGCAAGCATATTCATCCTATATTGTGTTTATTTGGATGTAACTTCTCACGCGCATTGCAACATGTGCAACACTCGTCTACTTTTGCATCATCCAGATGAAACACTTGCAACATACGTCCGGAACAGATAAAACGCTTGCAACATACATCTGAAACACTTGTAAAACACCTGAAAAATACTTGAAAGTCATTGCAAGCATATGCAATCTCCAGATAAAACACTTGTAACATATGCGTGAAACATATGTAACATTCAGATAAAACGCTTGCAAATTACGTCGGAAAAGACAGATAAAACATTTGGAACAGACGTTTGCAACATACGTATATAGCCATTGCAACATATGTAACATCCTGATCTACTTTTGCAACATCCATATGAAACACTGGCAACATACCTCTGAAACATATGAAACACTTGAAACATATGCTTGCAACATGTCAAACGCGACACTCTAGTGGGCGGCGACCACCATGTCAGACGCGTTGAGAAACTCGATAACCGCCTCGATGGGTAGATCAGGGCTAGGAGGCGGCGGAGCGAAGAGCACCAAGGACTTGGCCACTGTGAGATTCTTCCACCGCGGGGGGTGGGGGTGGGGGAGGGCACCGAGGTGCAGCCTCGAGACGGGTGCGAACTACGGCACAACCACGATGCCCTCATCGTCTCCAGCCGCAGGACGAGGTGAAGAGGAGGGCGCCATCGCCGGTGATGAGGGCAGGGGCGTGAGTGAGGCATGACTCTAGCAGCGGAGCCTGGCGTCGTAGAGGCGGGTGAGGGCTCTGGGGCGGAGGAAGCGGAGGTGGTCGCCGCTGGAAGCGGTGGATGGGGAGCGAAGCTTACGGCGGGCGCGCAAGGCAAAGTGGGAGATTTTTTTGAGGCGGTGTCAGGGTCATAACCCCGGGGGGGCGTCAATTCATCGATTAGTTAGCAAGCCACGTGGCCCGCAAGATCTCAGCTAGCGAAGGCCCGAACGACCGAGGCCCAGTTAAGCTAAGCCAACTAGGCCAGCCGCTAAGGCTGGGGTCAGCCACGACCCCTTCCTCCCGCCTTAGCCGCACGACGCTCGAAAGGCGCACGATCTCTCCCCCATCACGACCCCTAGAGGGAATGGGGAGAGGTCGGCCTAATAGCGATGCCGCTCAACCGACAAGAATAGGCACGCGCTACTTGCAAGCGAGGACCTCCATAAGGGACCGAGGGGACAACAGTCACCCTTCGAACTCTATATAAAAGGTCCGGTCCGATCCCTCTACCATCCTCATTCTCGCCACGTAGGCCAAATACGGCCCGACAAGACGACTGGTACGATGACCACCAGTCAAATACGGCCTGACAAGACGCATGCACGATTCCACAAACTACGGGATGTGATCCACGATGAAGGCCTTGACTTAGAGGCCATCCAGACTGGTGAAAGCCACGACCCCAACGATCGGGATCGTGGCCCTCAGCTCCTCCGGCCAACAAGGCGACCGACGACCTAGTCCTATGTGACACGGTGGCCGCATCCAAGAGCTCTTCACGATGGGGAGGTCAACACCCTCCCACACCAATGATCATGACCAGATCCTATGTTCTAGAGGCCAGGATGACCTGGCCCATGGCGGGCAGACCCGTAGAACGGCTTTCAATAACCATGCCAGGGAGCCTACCACAACAAGACGACCGATACCATTTATCGGCGAGCCATCCATGGACGAGTTAAAGCGAGAGAGGACTCCAGCAGGGAGGGAGATCAACATGACTGCAACTCAAGCTAGAGCCATCCTGGCTTATCTGAAATGGTCGAAAGCAGTGATCACCTTCGATAGGTCCGATCACGCCAACCACATTCAGCTGCCGGGGCGGTTTCCCCTTGTCGTCAGCGCAACAGTCGGAGAAACGCGTCTCACCAAAGTGTTGATGGACGGTGAGAGCGGACTCAATGTCCTATACTCACAGACGTGCGATGCTATGGTCCTCTCTAGAGTAGTGATACGGCCGACAAGTGCCCCCGTCTATGGGGTTGTACCTGGAGCACGAGCTTCTCCTCTCAGGCAAGTTACCCTTCCCATTACATTTGGAGGGCGCCTGAACTTCCATACGGAGACGCTCGACTTCGAGGTAATCAACCTCCCTAGCGCTTATCAAGCCATTTTAGGCCGACCATGCCACATGAAATTCATGGTCGTTCCTAACTATGCTTACCTCAAGCTTAAACTTTCTGGCCCTCGAGGAATCATCATAGTAAGCGGTGACCTGTACCAGGCGCACTCCTGCAAGGAGGAAATCCTTAACATCGCAGTGGCCGCGAGCCTAGCCTCGGACCTATGAACTATCTAGGCTACAGTGACCGAGGTCGCGCCCGAATCCAACATGAGTAAGCAGTCCACGGGAGACTTCAAGCCCACAGAGGACACCAAGGCGGTATAGATCAACCCCGAAGAGACCAGCAAAACCGTTTGAATCAGTTGTGGCCTTTTCGATCGGCAAGAGCACGAGCTCATCGACTTTTTGCTTCGAAATTGTGACATCTTTGCATGGAAACCTTCCAACATGGCAGGAATCTCGAGGCAGGTTGTCAAGCATAGCCTCGATATCTTGCCCAGAGCCAAACCGGTCAAACAACACCTCCACCGCTTTGACAATGAAAGGCGAAAGGCCATTGGAGAAGAGATCGCCAGGCTCCTGGCGGTAGGATTCATCAAGGAAGTCTTCCACCATGAATGTATCGCTAACCCGGTCCTGGTTCAGAAGAAGAATGGGACCAAGAGTATGTGCGTGGACTACACCAACTTGAACAAGGCATGCCCAAAGGTACCCTACCTGCTACCACAAATTGATCAAGTAGTTGACTCGACCATGGTTGCAAAACCCTATGCTTCCTGAACGCATATTCGAGGTACCATCAAATGGTGATGAAGGAGGCCGACCAGCTCGTACCTCCTTCATCACCCTATTCGGCGCCTACTGCGAGGTCATCAGGGACGTCATGGAGGTCTACATCGACGACATCGTCGTAAAGTATAGAAAAGCTGACCAGCTGGTCAGCAACCTAGAGGCCGCCTTCACTCATCTTAGAGAATTTAGGATCAAGCTCAACCCTAAAAAGTGCGTATTTGGGGTCCCCAAGGGAAAGCTCCTCGGGTTCATCATTTCAGAGTGGGGCATCGAAGCCAACCTAGAGAAGATTACGGTGATCGAGAATCCAGGCCCCATCATGGACCTGAAAGGAGGCCAAAAGCTCAAGGGATGTCTGGCCTCCCTTAGCCACTTCATCTCCTGGCTAGGGGAGCGTGGCATGCCATTATACAAGCTCCTGAAAAAGGACGATCAGTTTACCTAGATGGCTAAAACGTAGGAGGCCATCGAAAAGCTCAAAGCGTTCGTAGCAACAACCCCCACACTGGTATCGCCTGAGAAGGGAGAATCGCTCGTCCTCTACATCGCCACGACCACTTAGGTGGTCAGTGCGGTACTCGTCATCCAGCGAGAAGAGAGCGGGCACTCCCACAAGATCCAGAGGCCAGTATACTTCATCAACGAGGTTCTCTCAGACACTAAGGTGCATTACCTACAAATCCAGAAGCTTATCTATGCCATCCTCATCGCTAAACGAAAGTTGATGCATTACTTTGAGGGACACCCCATCGTTGTCATGGCATCCACCCCGCTCAGTGACGTTGTTTAGAACTACGATGCCTCCGGCCATGTGGCCAAATGGGCAACTGAGCTCATGGGTTGCCACATCACGTACGTCCCGAG